TATATATATATATATATATATATATATATATATATATATATATATATATATATATATATATATATATATATATGTGGAGATTAATATCTTTTTCCATTTCATCTGTTTCAGGAAAAATATTGGTTTTGACCAAACTTTTGTATAAAAATATTGAAATTTATAATACTCTTCTGTATGAAATTTAGGGTGAGTTACTTAATTCAAGTAGTGTTCCCTAGAGTTTTAATCTTTTGTGATTTTCTCTTTTATATATATATATATATATATATATATATATATATATATATATATATATATATATATATAAAATATGATATGATATGTTTTCTAAAACAAACTAATCGTTGAATTGAAATTAATTATTGTTCGTCCAAAAAATTAATAGCCGAACCAAACTATTCGCCGCTTTGCGCGGACAAACGACTAGTATATATATATATATATATATATATATATATACACACACACACACACACACACACACTAGTCGTTTGTCCGCGCAAAGCGGCGAATAGTTTGGTTCGGCTATTAGTTTTTTTGGACGGACAATGATTAATTTCAATTCAACGATTAGTTTGTTTTAGAAAACATATCATATTAAAAATAAAACACTATGTGTTATTACTGAGCATTATCTTAATTCAACGATTTGTTTTCTTTCTAGCGAACAATGTATTATTTAATGTATTTGTTGTTTTTGTGTATGTTGGATAGATGTATTCATATGTTGGAACAATTGTATCGATGAATCCCTTTTGCATATGAAAAACAGTTCGCTTTTTGGAAATAGTTTGCTTTAATGATTAGTTTTCTATTGTATACTCTATGATATCATAGAACATGCAATACAGCTAGTGGCAAGCAACGAATATGTATTCTTTTGGTGATTAGGTTTCTTCTGTTAAGGACGAATTGTTAGTTTTCGGTGATTAATTTTTCTAAACCCTTTTTTATTAAAATAGAGTTTACATGCAATGGGTTGCAGTCGGTGTTTACTACTGCAAATCTCCGACTATAATTTCCATAAAGACACATAGTCAAGAATTGGTAATCGATCTTAGGGTAAAATGACTATTTTACCCCTGGCCAAAGTTAATATCCTGATCAGAGTCAACTTTCAGTTGACTCGACTCGCCGAGTTAGCCCGCCAACTCGTCGAGTCCTTGTCCCTTCATCTATCCCTCAGCCCGACTCAGCTCATCGAGTCTAGCAAGAACTCGACGAGTTCTCCTTCAATTATATCATCCGGACAATCTTCAACTCACTTGCCAAGTTCCTCCTTGAACTCGTCGAGTTTATCTTCGTCATATGAATGTATCTAGTCTGTAACTCGCCGAGTTATATGAACAACTCGTCGAGTCCATCTTCATGGTTTGGGAGATAGCCTTGGACTCATCGAGTGCATTCATACACTCGCAAAGTCCCATGGCTTCTAGGTCCATAGTTATGTCCATTTTGCTGAGTCCTTCCTTTAGACTCACCTAAATCCATTCTATACTAGATTGGATTCCCTCGAATCATAGAAGGTTAGGAACCCAAACCCCCGACTCGCTGAGTCCCAAGAACGACTCGCCGATTCGACTAATGCCCATGTTCAAAACTCGGTTTCTGATGTACAACTCTTATCCAACAGGTAGATTTAGGCTCTTTAAGTCGATATAACACGTAAAGTCATGAACTTTACGTACATGCATGGGATTTTTATGCTCAAAGGACCAACAATAGGGGTTTATTTCATACATGGGGTTCTCATGGCCATAAAGATGGCACCTTTATGCCATGAGGGCCCTCCAAGGTTCTAGATCTGAAGATATATTAACTTGGGACGTCCAAGTCCCAAAGATCAAGTTACTTGGACCCAAAACTCCATAAAAATGACCACAAGGATATCTAAGAAGCTACAAGTCAAGTATGAAGCTTGATTACCAAAAAGTGAGGAGAAAATGTTGATGATCCTGGATCTATTCCTTCCCCCTTGGGTCTTCTATCTTCCACTTCTTGCTCTAGCTTCAAAACACACCAAGAAACATTCAAAACAACCAAGAAAGCTCAAGCTCACTTATGGAGGATTAGGGTTTCGAGTGTAATTTTTGGGGGGTGATGGAAGCTGGGGTGGAAGCCTCATAAGATGTTTAAATAGGGTGCAAACCCTCCAATTTAGGGTTTCACCCAGACAGCTCCTACTCACCAAGTTTGTCTTCCGACTCGTCGAGTAGGTCACTTAATCCCCGACCCAGAGTCGACCCTACTCGACGAGTTAAGCCCCCAACTCGCCGAGTCTAAGAGTAAAATATGATATTTGACTTGAAATTAAATGCGTACCTGAGATTGGGTGTTACAAGTTAACAGCTTAGGTGCAGCATTTTCAGTCCTGTATACATCTATACACAAGTATCAAGCTCTCTTATGGGAGATTCTGGTTATAATAGAGGACTTTTGTAGGTACTCTAGTAAGCACGTGAAGACTATAGCTCACAACATTGTATTAACGGTTTATGTATAGTGTAATGAAAGCCTTTTTGTAAGTGGAAGTATTATCCTTCCATAGTAGTTACATTATGTAAAATAATTATTCGTGTTGTATCCCAAAATGGTAAAATAGTGTCAGTGACCCATAAACTATACATATTATAGTTTATTATAAATGTTTTGTTATATATATATATATATATATATATATATATATATATATATATAAGTTACTATGTTTAGATGTTTTTTAAAAGATTATATCATATAATTTACATCTAACGCAAATAGAAGAACTTTTGGTATGATAAAGTCAATCTTACTAGTTTTTGACATTACCTGGCAAAGAGTGAAATGTAACTTAATGAAACTTATTTTCACCTTTTTGAGATATTCAAGTAAAGTTAATTTTTATATGTTTAAAACAACATATTTTGGTCAAGACCTACAAAAATGGTGTAATAATTTGGTTTTAACCATTTTTGCCAGAAAAGTCATCTTATGCTCATAAACACCATAGTTTTCAGAGTTTTGTTATTGTAACTTTTTCCAAAGACTACATAATACGAATATACTTGTTTTTTCATAGTTATATACTTCAAACTAACAAACCATGTATAAAGGTTCAAATAACTAGTAAAAACCATATTTTATGTAAGTAACACTTTATACACAACATAGAGATGAACATGTATAACAACTCTTTGTTAATATATAATTTTTGCTTATATTCCCCCCCCCCCCCCCCCCTAAAACATGAAAATCTCGAAAATGTGGGGTATGAACTCACCTTGAGTGGATTTCTTAGTGGATAAAGAGATGAAGATGAAGATCCTCAAGATTAGAACACTCGAAGATGGTTGAAGAACACTTGAAGATGATATTACCCTATGGATAATAACATATATAAATGTGTGTAAATGTAACAAAATTAGTATGTATGTGTGTAAAATCACTAGATTTATGAGAAAAAGCTTACAAAAAACTCAAGAACCAACTTGTAGAGGATAAATTTTGAAAGAAATGAAGTGTTCTTGAGAGAAAAGTGAAGTGATAAAACGTTGAAGAAAATGAAACGGTGAAGAATGGGAGGGGGTGGGTTGAATTTAAAAAGGAGGGAAGGGTGAAATGATATTTGCATCGTTATATGTTGGGTAAAAGCATTATTATATGTTGAGTAATATTTCTTATTGGGAACAGATGCATTATTCACATCATAAATCACCGAAATCACATGGTGACTTCGGTCCAAGTACCACCGAGTTCACTTGGTGATATCGGTCTAGGTACCACCGAGTTCACTAGGTGATTTTAGTCCAAGTACCAACCGAAATCATAATGTTTTGGGTCCTAAGCCGAGAACCTTGAAAGCAAGGTATAAATCATGATTTATGTCCTAAGCTGTTGACTTTCATTGACTTGTTTGACTTTTGTTGACCCAGAACTACCAATTGTCACAAATATGATCGGAATCCCCCCCCCTCCCCGCGGAGGTACTAGGGTAGCCGTATATGATGCTCGAGATGTCAAATAAATATTAACATATAAGGCTGAGGGGAGTGGTGTCAAGACAATCGACATCCACCTCAGCTGAACATCCTCCTTCCCCTTTGTAGTTCGGTATCCCATTGTTGAGGAGAAAAGAATTTTTGTCACGTCGAGACGGAGGGGCGATGTTTTTGCTGAGTACACCCGAGCCTCCATGTCCTCCTTGTCGGACTCCTCATTCTTCCCGCTCCCGTCAGCGTAATATCAATCGTATTAATGTCTTTGAACCATGGTTGTCAAAATCACGATCCTGATCGTAGGATCGTACGATTTTAGATATGAAAAACGAGCCAGATCGTAAATTGATCGTATTTGTTGTAGGATCGCAGGTAGGATCGTAGGATCGCAATTCGATCCGATCCTACTTTTTTTTTTTTGTAAATGGTTTTTTTTACCACTTTATGTCTTTTGCTATTTACCAATTTACCGTTTATCATTTTATGTTGTGACTTATAACTAATATTTTAAAGTTTTTATAAGTTTTGAATGAAAAAATGAATGTTGGAAATACTTTTTCATATTTAACATTATAAATTAAAATTTTATTTTATTTGTGGGATCTTAGGATCTCGATCCCGATCTTACGATCTCAATCTTGCAAACTCAAAAGCGATACTATATAGGATCTCGATCTTGATAACCTTATCGACCATAAATAATTCAATGATAACTCGTATATTGATAACCTTACTGACCATAAATAATTCAATGATAACTCGTATAGAAAACAATACCAACTGTACAGGTGATTAACCCATTAAAGTTCTTCAACTTGACAAGCCTTGCCAAATGGAAACTTTAGTAAAGATATTAAAAATAATATAAAATCAAACCATGGGGGACATGGGCTCCAAATCCAAACACGCCTTGCAAGACTGGACTCTTCCCTAGAACGTTCAACAAAAATATCTCTGTTCTGCTCCGCTCCCCTCTCCTCCGACTCGCCCTTTCTTCCAATCACCAAAACCCGCAAGGCAGCAACTATGCAAATCTCCGGCGGCGTGTTGACCGACGTCACAGCCGTATTCTATCCGTCTTTGACTCCTCCTTGCTGTGCTAGGTCTCATGAGTTCCGACATGTCCATGCCTTTTCTGACTTTAGGCCCCTTCCTTCTCTCGGCTTTCTTAAGGTAATACGCTCCTCATTCGCATTTTCGTTTTTCTATGCTTACGTTTAAGCCGTTTGAAATTCGTACAATTAACGTAATTCGCCTTTTAGGTACTGTAGTAATTAGTAAATTGTTTCGGAAGTAAGTGTTTGAAGAGGTGAAATCCGAATCCGATTAACTAAATTGAATCTCGTTTCTTTCTAATTTTGGGCTTTCTCTAATTTTGATTCAAGACTACAAAGGTTCTTAAATAGAGTCTCAAGCTATACTCTCATACTATATATTTGTGGTCTGTGGACTGTGGTCCTAGGGGTGATGATATGGAACTGAAATTAATGTTAAACTTTTTTAATGTACGAGAGAGCTGTAGTGAAGACATAAACAGGGGCATCCTTCTTTCTGATATACTAATCTCTAAGTAAGGTATTACAGATTAATGGTCTCATATCTCTACATGATTGTGGTTATACAGCAAGTGGCTCTCCAATCAATAATAGGAATTCAAATACGTTATTGCTAAACATGTCCAATTTTAAATTAATATGTGGTTTAAGTAAGCCCTAAAGTAAAGTTCCTAAATCCTATTGTTATGCTTTCTTGCTTTATGTTATCAAGTGCTTACAACTGTCTTCATGATTCTTAATTTCTTACGTCTTATAGAGCTCTCCATTCCCCATGGCAAGAGGTGGAGGCGAATCATCCCGAACAAGAAGCTGTATAGCAAAAGCATCTGGCAGTTCAGGTCATGATTTGGTTCCAGTAGCGCCACATCAGCTCGAGTCTCCAGTTGGTCAACTCCTGGAACAAATTTTACAAACCCATCCTCATCTCCTCCCTGCAGCCATTGATCAACAGCTTGAAAACCTTCAAAATGAAAAAGATGCTCAAAAAGAAGAACGCCCTCCTTCATCTATGGACCTCAGCCTTTACAAGTGAGCAACTTTGCTATGACCTGTCATATCATATTTCCTAGAGACAAAATTTATCATATCGTGTAGTCGTTAAATTTCAGGAGAATAGCCCAAGTGAAAGAAAAAGACAGACAGAAGATTTTAGAAGAGATAATGTACTGCTGGATTGTTCATAAATTCGTGGACAAAGAAATCTTAATGATCCCGAAAATATCATCAACCTCGGATCCTTCCGGAAGGGTTGACTTCTGGCCAAACCAAGAAATGAAGCTGGAATCAGTCCACTCAGCTGAAGCACTCGAGATGATACAAAACCATGTAGCCCTCGTCCTCGGGGACCGCGTTGTGGGGCCCTTACAATCCATCGTCCAGATCAGCAAAATCAAACTCGGAAAACTATACGCTGCATCAATAATGTATGGATACTTCTTGAAACGGGTGGATGAAAGATTTCAACTTGAGAGATCCATGAACACGCTTCCGGAAGGTTTCAAGGAACAACAATCGGGTTTTGCGGACCCATCGGTTCCGCAAAGCCCGTTTTGGGATCCGGATTCGTTGATCCGGATCCAGCCCGATTATGACATGGAAGATGAGGGCTTAATGGGTGGTGGTGGTGATGATAAGCTGTATAGGTTAAGATCTTATGTGATGTATTTGGATGCTGAGACACTTCAGAGATATGCAACGATAAGATCTAAAGAAGCGATTTCTTTGATTGAGAAACAAACACAGGCTTTGTTTGGGAGGCCTGATATTAAGGTATCGGAGGATGGGTCGTTGGGTGCTTCTAATGATGAAGTGGTTAATGTGACGTTTTCTGGGTTGACAATGCTGGTTCTTGAAGCAGTTGCTTTTGGGTCGTTTTTGTGGGATGCGGAGAACTATGTGGAATCTAGGTACCAATTTTTGAAAAGCTGAGAAATTTTAAATGTATTTGATTTATTTTAATTGTAATATTTCACACGTGCAACAAACAAACGTATATGAAAGTAAAACACAAAGTCCAAAGATTAGACTATAGTTATAATACCGACAAAATATCAACAAACGACATAAAGAGTCGGATAATCAGATTTACAGAGTCAAACAAACACGAGGAAAGAAAATGAATCGGCCACCTGGCCTTAAAGAAACACACATACTCAAAAAAAAAAGGTTTCTTGAAGGCTGCTATGGATCACTTAAAAAGAGTTTGATTTTTATTTGTATGGGAAAATGTTGAGAGGATCAAGCTGCAAGAACTATGATCACGATCAGAAGCACGATTCCAAGAATCACCAAAAGCAAGCAAGTCTGAATGGAAAAATGAAAACTAATGAGCACTGTAAAAAGGACTGGAAAAACTTTAAGTAAAAACATAATACTACAATTTTACCATGGAAGAGTTTGATCTTTGAGTTTTTGATGCTTTTGCAAGATGGGACTTTGCCTGTGAAGTGGCAGCATGAGAATTCTCAATGTTGGTCCCAATATCATCTGAAAAAGAATCATTGAGGCGTTATAAAAAGTTGAAATTTTAACAAAATAAAGCGAGAAAGCTTTCTTAAATCTTACCAATCATAGCTCCTTGCTCATGAACCAAAACAGCAAGATCTTTGAAAATTTCATTTACTTCCCCAATTTGATTCTGGATCTCTTGTATTCCCTGATCTCTTTCCTCAATGATTGCTTCATTAAATGCAATCTCATTGTCCAACAACAAAACCTCCTGTCTGAAAAAAACCCAAAAACAACTTGAACAAATTGTTAGTCTGCAACTTTCCCTTACTAATCAAGTCAACAACTTGCCTTTTGGAGTCCACTAGAAGAACACGTTGTTCTTGAGTTTTGTCTGAGCTTAAATCCATTTCACTGGCTGGATCACTAAAGAAAAAGTAAAATCACTAAATCAACCAGAATTCTACATTCACAGAGATTTTTCATTTTTTTTTAACAATTTGGAATATGCATTAAACTGCAACTTACCGGGATGGAAGAGAAGATTGAGGAACAAAAGGCGTGTAAGCTGTCTCCCTTTCAGCTGAAAGTCTCTGAGCTTTCTGAAATTCTTTAAGAACTGCTTGAAAATCTTTTGCAAGTTTAGCATCAGTAATCTTTTTGCTGGCCTGCACAAAACATGATGATTCCACCACCAAGAAATTTGAAGAAGGAGAAGAAACTAATGAGGAGTTTTATGATAATCAGATATTAAGAAACCCACCAACTCAAACCTCATGCTATATATATGTGAAGAGGTACGTATGATACAAATACATTTAGAATGAGAAGAATCAAAGTGTCACTTACACTAACATCAGCCTTATGATCTGTTTCACTTGCTTGTTTGAGTTTATCTGAAGTATCCTTCACCAATTGCCCAATATGTAGTCTGGTTTTGTGCCTGTCATGTGAAAACCACCAAAAGACAACAGTCGCCATCATTGTATACAGTTGTCATACAAACTAGTCAAAATGATTATAACGATGAATTCATGGAAGGCATTTTTAATTCATCGTCGTTTGTATGAAAGGAAATAATAATGTGATTGCACTTTTACAGGTTTTATGGTTCATAACCAAGCAAAAGTAAAGCTAGGGAATAAAATAGAGTTCTTAATAAATCATAATATTTAAGGATGCGTTGTTGATTGTGTTCTATAATATACTAGCAATCACAAACTAATTATACATCTAACATGTTAAATCAAATGTAAGAAACTAAAACGAATCAGGTTTCTTTTCAATTTTAACCCTGGTTATCAAAACTGAGTCAAAGTAAAGCTCAAAAATGAATCAGACGTACAGCTTTTCTCGAAGCTCAGGGGTGTCTTTCTGAGTACCAAGGGTATTTACTAGCCTCTGAAACGTAGAGACTGCCGTATTGATCTGGAAAATTCCAGAAGCAACAGCTTGAGTCGGATCCTGTTTCCTCATGCCATTGTTGAATCCCCCGCGTCTCGAATTGAGCGGGCGACCAGCTTCGATATCTTGAAAACTCATTATCTTATCTTATATCTCCCAACTGATAAATCCTAAAACAAACAACAATTCCGATTGAGATGAAACCCTACCGATCGGAGCAGGGTCTCGATCAAAACGGTGAAATTACTGAACCCTTGTTCTGCAACGGTGATCGAATTAGTATTGATCGAAAATCGAAATTAAGGCACCGATTGAGGTGAGAGAAACGAAAGGGACAGCAATGATTTACAGGTGAAGGATGTGGTGGTGGTGGAAGAGCAGGTATTGCATTGCCGGCGATCCGAAAGCAAACCAAAGGGGACACGTGGAGAGTGGGGACGTAGCTATGTAGCTGACACTTTATAGTTTTCGAAATTCGGAGACTCCAAGGGGCGATTTTGTAATTTTGCATTGAGCAGATAGGAATAGGATTCCTTCTCGAATAAAATAGAGTTGGTCAAATACCAAATTTTAATTATTCCCATAATATTAACAAAATATCATATATAATATGGTTGTTTAATACAATAGTAACGATAACTTGATATCAATAAGTCATAAGTGGGTGATTCATGTTAAATTGTCCAGAGAAACGATAACTGGATATCTATAAGTGGCCGTTGATACATGTTAAATTATTCAGAGATAGATTATATATATATATATATATATATATATATATATATATATATATATATATATATATATATATATATATATATATATATATATATATATATATATATATATATATATATATATATATATATGGATTTCATGCACAAAAATACCATAGAACATGGTTTATTTGCCAGCATCTAGATATAGATCATACATGGGATGGTTGCATATGTTATGTCTTCCTCGTTTTCAATAGTTATAAGTTTTTAGAATGTTTATAAAAAATATCATATTTAAACCAAACTAGTTACCTTTTCTTAATCAACATTATTGGGTTTATTTTTCAAGGATGTTTAGAAGATCTATATTATGGTATTTGAACCACTAAAATAATCAAAATCGGGGACGACTTATTTGGAAATGGTGTCTTTTAATAAAGCATTATAAATAAGTATGGTTGTTAAGATCCTACAAACGAAAATGATCACAATCTCATTAGGAATTTTTGTGAAGCAATAGCTATATTACAATTGTAGGATACCCACTAGGATCATAAGATCTTACCTTGCTCCTTGTTCTACAGTTTAGATCTTAGTCTTCAAAACATTTTATGATTGGAAAAATTAAATTCGTAATAGGGTTTTAAAAAAAATGCATATAAAATGGTATACAAACTAGAAAACATCTCAAATTACAAATGTATAGTAGGGTGCATGCGCTTTATGGTGAAGTACCTATCTCGAGAGTAGAGTAGTCCACCAACAAGTTCTCTAAGGCCTCGTTTGTTTTTGGGTTATTGTCACTGTAGCCCAACAATTTTTAGTATATTGGCTTAAATGGTCCCTCGTGATTTTTTTTGTCTTTGAAGGGCACAAACTTGTGTTTTACCGGTTAATTTCGTACCCTTACCTATTTTTGAAGGTTACATTGCCTTGTCAGCTGCCAACTAATAAGGTGAGTCGACTCATCGTTGCTCCTGAATTCTTTGTTATTAATCACGACACAAATCCTTACATTTAACCCCCAAATATGTTCATCTATTGTCTCTAGTTTCGTCGATGATTTTTGATTAAGGCGTTGGAGTTAATTTGTAAGATTTCCTCCATCTTCACGTCGACCATATACCATTGGTTCACAAGGTCGTTCCTAATCCCATTTGCTTGCTTCCCATTCCTACTTGTAACCCTATTTTCTTTGCTTCAATCTTCTATCTAATACTTTGGTTTGCATCGAGTGTGTCACCTTTTGTTGTGGTATGTTATATCTTGTGGGGGTGATTAAACACATTTGTGCAAGCTTATGTTACAAGTGATGATTCAGTATTGTAAGTTTGGATTTTTGAAGAACATCCATCGTCGTCCTCATTGAAATAATACCCAGACTTAGGTCAGATAATCTGATGGTTAGGAATCGATCAAACCATGTCCATACCCAAGGACCCAGAGCAAGTAATGAAGCAAAGAGATCAACCTGTGCTTGGGAAAAAGACCATTCTTAAGAGCGACCATTTTCCTGGATGTCAGAATAAGCAATTTTTTCCCCAAATCATCGGCCCCCCAAATTTTTGCTAGCTGATCCTGTTCTTTCAATTTTATTGTTTCACCAGCTTTCTTATACTTCGAAGATACACCCCTCTTTTTGTGTAGTGCTTAATTTCTCCAGAAAGCATGCTAAAACCTATCTATTCCTCATTTTTTACATCATTTGTTCCTCTTGACCATTGAAAGTCCGGTTTTTTTGCCTCATGAAATTATCAGGTCGAAGCATTGTGCGTCCATGGTGTTGCAATCCCAACTATTGATGGAATTAGGAATGTTTTTATTACATATATCGAGGCTTAAATTGATGGGAAGCAAGCAAATGTTCTTTAGATCAAATTGACGATCTTTGATTCAATCGATTTTCAGATACTGAAGTCAAACAACCAGGTGCATCAGGACAAATGCTCTCCATCTCTATCTATCCTTCTGGAGAACACCATTATCTCACGTGATACAGAGGATATGCGTTGGTTCATCTTCACAAATTATGTTACCCACCTACAAATCAAACGAGAGAAACAGATAAGAAAAAAATGGAAATAGATCGAATCATACAAGAGACTGAAGTTGATAAATGAAGGAGATAGGTGTATCTGGGTCAGATCTTGAGGTTGAGCTGCCATGGGAAATGGGTTTCTTGAGAAAGATGGTGGATTTTAGAGAGAGAAACACGAGATAGGATAAAAAAAAGGACAAGGCTGTGAAAGAAACATCTAGCATATGCAAATTGATGACTAGGATGGGGTTACCGAGTGACCCCTTCAAATTTTCCATAATGACTTTTTATAACCTAAAAACACAAGTTGGTACCCTTTA